CAGAGGGCCCCCTGCCTGCCTTTGCCTAGGGCCCCAAATTTCCTAAATCCGCCCCTGGATAGACTCACTGGGATCAGGCCCGGTTCTGATCAACAACCTGATGGTGTGAAATCAGAGATGTGGACAGACTCTGGTGAGCGTAGAACTAGAAGTGACACCTGAGCAGCACCAATCTGCAGTTTGGAGAGGTTATGATCAGTGGAGCAAAGCTGAACCGTCCATTCCTGCAGTTAGGGGACAGTTTGGTACTGGTTCTGCTCTGTGTTTGATAGGGATGTCCTGACTTGGTGTGAGGGATTACCTTCGAGTCAATGAGTCGATGCAATCAACTGGTTTTCCTTTGATAGAAATCTTTGATTCAATCTGACTGGATTATCTGGTTGATTTGTCTCTATAAAGTGTCTTGCGATTATCTGTGTTGTGAATTGGGCCCTCGGTTCATTAGAAACTGGGATCAATAAATGAAGCAGGTTTCTATATAGTTAGCGTCGCAGAGACACTGGAGTTTCTCATGTTTACACTTAGCCAGTCCATAAGAAGAACACTATAAGTCTTCCAGTTTAAAAGCTGCAAGTAGAGCCTTAACCTATTTTCTTGTTCAATGTGTTTATTGTTATATTTTCTCTGTCTAAAAGTTGTTTCTTTCCTTGTTCTCAGTCTGAACAGCCCAGTCCTGCCAGCTCCAGCTCCAGCTCCGGCTTTACTCCCACACACCACAAACGTCAAGGTAAGCTGCCTCTTCCTGCCGTTCACAGAAGGTTACACTAAAACCTTCTGCATCTTGGTCCACTTTATTCATCTGGTGCCGATCCACCGACATCTGCAACTTATTCCCCATTTAAAACTTAGTTTACATATTTTCCTCACAGTAAAATACATCCATGCATCGAAACAAAGAAATTCGCTTTGGTTCCACCTGCTCTCAATTTAAACATTTTAAATATAATATAAGGGTCAGTCCAGAGGTTTAGGATAATGTAGGAATAAGTTTCCCCATCCTGGTGATAAGCCATCGTTAAATTAGATTTGAATGTGATTTATCATGTACTTTCTTTTGTTCTTTCTGTTAGATTCTTATTCTCAAAAATTCTTTAAATACAGGAAGTTATATTTTATTGGAATAAATTAGTGCTGAAACGATTAATCGATTATTGAAATAATGGTCAACTGATTTAGAAATCGGTTAATCTGTAGTATTGAGACTGTAAGACATGCCTTTAGCTGACAGAGAGACCTGATTAGAGCAGTAACTATACCAAAGTTGTCAAAATATGTAAACATTTTGCATTTAAGATAAAAATTATTTATCATTATGATAGTATTAGGGCCAGGCTGGAGATTTTTTTTTTTTTTTTAATGCTGATCGGTTCTCGAAGCTATCTTTCTGAACAGGTTGGGGTATAATGTTTTCATTATTTTAAAACTTAATTCTCATAATTTTACGACTTTATTCTCGTAATTTTATGGCTTTATTCTCGTAATGTTATAGCTTTATTCTCGTAATGTTA